AGGTACCCATGGAGGAGGAGATGGGAAGTGGCCCGGGGATAGCAGACCCCGAACCCATGTCAGTGTGTTGCGGTCAGGATCCCCACTGACTGTGTGGCAGACAGACCCCTGCGGATAGGGCCCCGGGCTGGAACACAGTGGAGTGGGTGGGCCTGTGTTCCCCCCTGCCACCCCGCGCCATTGTGTGCTCAGTCCCTGCATAAGGGCCTGAGCTCTAAAACTGTTAATCGTGTGCTCAGTCCCTGCATAAGGGCCTGAGCTCTAAAACTGTTAATTGTTTGCTCAGTCCCTGCATAGGGGCCTGAGCTCTGAACTGCTAATTGTGTGCTCAGTCCCTGCATAGGGGCCTGAGCCCTGAACTGTCAATTGTGTGCTTAGCCCCTACCCAAAGGTCGGGGCCCTAACTGTTATTCGCTTTGTAGCGGGGCGGCCTGACTTTCAGGCGCCCCAGGAAGGGACGAGCCCCACCCCGGAACTACTACACGCCCTCACACCGCCCCTTCCCTCTGCAGCCCTGCCCCCACACAACCACTTCTCTCTGAGGCCCCTCCCCTCGCCCCAGGCCCCGCCCTCACACCAACCCTTCCCCCGAGGCCCTGCTCCTGTGCCGCCTCTTCCCCACAAGATCCTGACCCCCACCCACTCTTCTCCCCCCCTTACCCTCCTCGCTCTCCCCTATGGCCAGTAAAAAGTGGGAGGGCCATGGCCCCCTGGCCCCTGTTCCGGTGCCCCTGAATTGACATTTAGCAAAGTAAGAAAAATGGTGCCTGAGAACATATTAGACTTTGATTTACAGCTATTGACTTTGTATATTTGGAGGTAACGTTGACAATTATGTGTTTTGATGCTCATAAAGCTAATTTAACTTCTTGAATCGCAACATCGACTCTCATTAAATACATGTTGCCTCCCCCTCCTCCCCATCGTTTTCCACTACTGTAAACGTTTAAACTGATCAAAATGCTTTCATTTCACCCGCAACCCCTGCTCCCATTTTGTCCAAACCTCAGCGCCTTAGGCCAGGGAGATGGCTGGATCTGTGTTGATTGGGAATAGGTTTAAGATCAACTAAAACAAGCTGCTGTTAAACCGGAAGAGGAGGGTCTATGCAGGGGACTGTTTGCACTGGTTTAACTAGATTGGTTCTGAAGCCATTTACATTAAACTGGTGCAGCTGCAGGTTTCATGCCCTGAAATATCTGCTGCTGGTCTCTGTGGGAGCCAGGACCCCTCGTCCGACACAGCCTGGGCACTCCGCTGTTCCTCGTGCTGACAGAGCTCTTGGTTCAGTGCTAGAAGAAAGCGCTTCTTCCTGGGATTCTTTTTCCACTGCCCCCGTGATGCCAGCCCCACTCAGTCTTAAGCAGCAGTGTAAACAAGGTGCCCAGAGCACAAACAGTGGGTGCTGAGCACAAACCAGCCACAGCTGTTCGGCGGCGCCTCCAATCAGCTAATCGGGGGGGGCTCGGGAAGGGGCTTGGGGGAGGGGGGAGAACTGCGAGTGGTGGACGGGCAGAGACCTCAGGGAGGAGGTGAAGCAGAGACGGGAAGAGGCGGGGCGAGGACAGGGTCTTGGGGGAGGGTGTGGAGTGGGGGCAGGAAGAGGCAGAGTGAGAGCGGGGCCTTGGGGGAGGGGGCAGGGCGAGGGTGGGAAGAGGCGGAAGGAGGGCGGGGCCTCTGGGGAGGGGCA